ATGTGCATAGTAATTTTTCAGAGATGTTATTACAAACCTCTAGAACAGGTGGGATCGGAACTCAGGTCTCTTGGATCAGAGTTAGGGACACTACCCTCAGTATGTGCGTAAATGATTATTCAATAACTACCCCCCAACACCGTATGTACGTAATTTTGAAACAGTTAGCAGTTAACATTCTCATCTCTGATCCCAGAGGCTGTTTGTTCAAGTCCTACACTAGATACTTGAGCACAAAATCCCAGCGGAGGCAGTCCGAAGGGAATGCTGCACTGTTGGAGGTGTCTTCCTTTGTACAGAGACATTAGGTTGAGATCTGCCCCATTTTTGCCCCTGAACATTCAGCCCAAAAGCAGATTGCACATTTTGTTGCTGTTATTGTGATCTTGCTGTGCACAAATCAACTGCCCCATTTCCTACCTTACAACAGTGGCTGTTCCTCAAAACTATTGAATTGAAGTAAAACATTTTGGGAGGTCTTGAGGCTGTGAAGGTTATGGGAATATAGAAGTCTTTCCTACAATTTTAACCAGTTGAACAGCTGTCTTAAGCCAGGCTGTGATGAGGTTGCATGAAGGAGGGGCGAAAGCGTGCAGCAGGTCAGCCACAATCTTGTTGAATGCAGGGCAGCCTTGAGGGGCCGAATGGCCTGCACCTGGTCCTTTTTCTTACATTCTAGAGCAACAAAGAACTGGGAATTGTTTGTGCTGCAGCTCAGTACCAAAATACATGTACCCCAGCTTCAGTTTAAAATTACAATCTAGTAAGTCCTATGGGAACTGGACCCTGTAATAATGTGGAGAAAATGGTGCCAAAACTCATGATAAAACTCCAACTTAAAATTGAAAATAAATCTACAGATATCTTAAATATTAAAACAAAATTGGCAGTTTGGAATAATTCCAAGAAAAGTTTAGATTAAATTGAGAAAAAGCACCCTGTTTTAGCTGACAGTTTGCAGTGTAATCAAAACCTCATGATAAGATATTTCATTCCCAGAAGCCTGGTATTTTGTGATTAATGTATCATAATCACTAAATTAGAGTCCAGCCTGTAATAACTGTCGAGTGTCCAGTATTTTCTGTCTCTGAACAATGCAGTTCTTTGGTCAGAATCCATTCAGTTTTTTTGATTTAAGAGGAAGACTTGTATTTATATAAGAACATTTACAACCCAGGACACCCCAGATCAGTTTACGACCAATGAAGTATTTTTGGAGGGCAGGCACTGTTGTAATTCAGGAAATACAGCAGCTAATTTGCACAAAGCAAGCTCCCACAGACATTAATGTAATAATATTTTGTTTGAGGTGGTAGACTTGCTCACTGAGCTGGTGGGTTTGGTTGCAAGCGTTTCATCACCTTGCTAGGTAACATCATCTGTGCGCCTCCATGGAAGCGTTGGTGTTCTGTCCCACTTCTTATTGATACGTTTCAGTTTGCTGGGGCGGTGGTCAGTATTACTTCCAGTGATGCCAACCACCCCAGCAAACTGAGGCATATAAATAACAAGTGGGACAGCTCACCGACGCTTCACCGGAGGCGCACAGACGATATTACCTAGCAGGGTGACAAAACGTTTGAAACCAAACACACTGACTGGACGAGCAAGTCTACAGCCTCATCCACAACCCGAGCCACAAATCTCAAAAACTTTAATGTTTTGTTTTCTTACCAATTTCGTTAAAAAGGCACTTGAACTTAGTACTGTCAAAACCAACTTAAAATGTTCTCAGGTCTGGCAAGTCCCTCTCCTACCCTTTGCCTTTAACATTATGTCAACAGTTGGCCACAACATTACAACTACAACTTGCACCTTCTAATGCAGCAAAATGTCCAAAGGCCATTCACAGGAGTGTAAAACAAAATCTGACACCGAGCCACATGAAAGGGTTTTGGGATTGATAAGATAGGTTTCTTCCAGGGGTGAAACAGATGCCGAGAGGATTAAAGAGGGAACTCTAGAGGCTGATGTTGCATTATCTGTGTGCTGCTAATTTGGAGCTAATGTAGGTCAGGGATCTGTGGGGAGAACTTCTCGACTCATCTTCAGAACAGTGCTGGTGGGATAATTTATTTGCCTCTATGAGACACTTGTGAAGTCAGTTAAGTGCTTTAGAGAATCCTGTGGATGTGAAAGGCGCTATTTAAATAAGTAACCTACGTCTATTGAAATCCCTTATCCAGATTCTAGCTTATCATTCACACTTAGAGTGACAGTTAATATTGAATCATTATTTAACATATAAACTGTTAAAACCTGCTCCATAATGTTGCAATCTGAATTGCTTTGAAATATTCATATTATCTACCATAACAACCTGAATTTGTAGATTTTATTATTATGCGGCATCTAGCATGAGATAGTAATTATTTCATTTTCTTAAAAATGCTATAGTATATTAATATCAAGACACAGTTGAGATATTTTAAATGTTTAATATTACACCTTTACCTTTAATGATCCATGATGTTTCCTCATTAAATTGCACTGAGAGACGAACATTAATGCTGCAATGTTGAAGTGTGACACAGGATCAGGAATTTATCTCTGTACATTAAACAGAAATCTCACTTTCTCTACATCCAACCTAGTATTCCAGTGTCTGCAATCTGCATTTATATCATCTTCAATAAACAATGTATTTTGGTTCGTGCAACTTACTGTCTTATGTCTCTGATAAAAGATCCCGTTACAACCATCCATGATTTTTGCATATTTCATTGAACTGGGTAATTCTCACTTCGAGAAGCAGTGACTGGGTTTTGAAATATAAACTGAATTGATTTAATTTATTCATGAGATGTGGGCATCACTCACAAAGCCCAACTCTAATTGCCCCTTGAGAAGGTGGCCTTCTTGAAGTGCTGCAGTCTTTGGGATGTAGGGATATCTTCAATACTTTTCGGGAGGGAGTTTCAGGATTTTGACCCAGCGACACTGACGGAACGTGATTTCCTTTCAAATCAGGATAGCTTGGAAGGGAATATGCCAGGCATGATGTTCCCACATATCTGCTGCCTTGTCCTTCTAGGTAGAAAGTGCTGTTCTAGGAATCTGAGATAGTAGGAACTGCAGATGCTGGAGAATCCTCTTGAGTTGTTGCAGTGCATCGTGTAGACAGTACAGACTGCTGCTACTGCGTGTCAGTGGTGGAGGGTGTGGATATTTGTGGATGTGGTGCCAATCAAGCAGGGGCTGCTTTGTCCTGGATGGTGTCAAGTTTCTTGAGTGTCGTTGTCTCCATAGAGTTTTCACAGCCCTCAGGGCAGAGAATTCCAAAGATTCACCATCTTCTGGGTGAAGAAAGTCTTCCTCATCTCTGTCCTAACTGGCTTGCCCCAAATTTTGACACTGCGCCCCCTGGATCTAGCAATACAGTATGCAGAAAAGAAGAAGACCACTCAGCCATCGAACCAACCCTTCCAAACCTTTGAGACAACAAGGTGCAGGGCTGGATGAACACAGCAGGCCAAGCAGCATCCTAGGAGCAGAGAGGCTGACATTTCGGGCCTAGACCCTTCATCAGAAAAGGGGGAGGGGAAGGGGGTTCTGAAATAAATAAGGAGAGAGGGGGAGGCGGATAGAAGAGGGATAGAGGAGAGGATAGGTGGAGAGGAAACAAACAGGTCGAAGAGGCGGGGATGGGGCCAGTAAAGGTGAGTGTAGGTGGGGAGTTAGGGAGGGGATAGGTCAGTCCAGGGAGGACGGACAGTTCAAGGGGGCGGGATGAGGTTGGTCGGTAGGAGATGGGGGTGCGGCTTGAGGTGGGAGGAGGGGATAGGTGGGAGGAAGAACAGGTTAGGGAGGCAGGGACGAGCTGGACTGGTTTTGGGATGCGGTAGGGGGAGGGGAGATTTTGAAACTTGTGAAATCCACATTGATACCATTGGGCTGCAGGGTTCCCAAGCGGAATATGAGTTGCTGTTCCTGCAACCTTCGGGTGGCATCATTGTGGCACTGCAGGAGGCCCAGGATGCCTCCCACATATCTCCTTCTCCCACCTCAAGCCGCACCTCCATCTCCTACCGACTAACCTCATCCTGCCCCCTTGACCTGTCCGTCCTCCCTGAACTGACCTATCCCCTCCCTAACTCCCCACCTACACTCACCTTTACTGGCCCCATCCCCACCTCTTCGACCTGTTTGTTTCCTCTCCACCTATCCTCTCCTCTATCCATCTTCCATCCACCTCCCATTCTCTCCCTATTTATTTCAGAACCCCCTTCCCCTCCCCCTTTTCTGATGAAGGGTCTAGGCCCGAAACGTCAGCCTCTCTGCTCCTATGATGCTGCTTGACCTGCTGTGTTCATCCAGCACTGCACCTTGTTGTCTCGGATTCACCAGCATCTGCAGTTCCTACTATCTCTGATTCAATTTTAACCCCCCTTCCAAACCTTTCATCAATTTGTTTATCTTACCTGGAACTAATAGCCCATATGCCTTTTTCCAATAGGTAGTTCCTGCCTTGGTTCCCTGTTTTGCCATTCCCACAGCTAATTCATTGCATAATACTATCAGCCTTTCCTGAAGATATGGCCTGGAAGTCCTTGAGTCCCTCACCGCATTTCACCCATTGTCATAGAGTCGTAGAGATGTACAGCACAGAAACAGACCCTCCTGTCAAACTTGTTCATGCCGACCAGATATCCTAAATAAATCTAGTCCCATTTGGCCCACATTCCTCTAAACCTTTCCTATCTATGTATCCATCCAGATGCCTTTTAAATGTTGTAATTGTCCCAGCCTCCACCACCTCCTCTGGCAGCTCATTCCATACACGCACCACCCTCTGTGTGAAAAAGTTGCCCCTTGGTCCCTTTTAAATCTTTCCCCTCTCACCTGAAACCTATGCCCTCTAGTTTTGGACTCCCCTACCCTGGGGAAAAGATCTTAACTATTCACCATATCCATGCCCCTCATAATTTTATAAACTTCTATTTGGTCACACGCCATCTTCCGATGCTCCAGGGAAAATAGTCCAAGCCTATTCAATCCCTCCCTAAAGCTCAAACCCTCCAACTCTGGCAACATCTTTGTAAATCTTTTCTGAACTCTTTCAAGTTTCACAACATCCTTCCTGTAGAAGGGAGACAAGAATTGAATGCAATTTTCCAAAATTAAACAGTCAACAGATAATGGCAGGAGAAACCTTGGGATCTTACAGCACAGAAGGTGACCACTGCTGGATTTTTGAGTTTCCCTTGCACCCTGTCCTTTCTCCCTATGCTTGCAAACTACTTTCCTTCCAAATATTTATCAAGTTTCCTTTTGAACGTTGCTGTTCAATCTGCTCCTAGGCTTCTATCCATGATCCTTTCCTAACAGTACTGTGGCTGTACTAACACCACATGAACTGCTACAATTCCAGAGGACAGCTCTCCACCATTTTCTCAAGGGCAATTAGGGATTGGCAATAAGCACCCAAATCCTCTGAGCCAACAAACGAATAAGTTTCAGAAGGTCCAGGTGTTTTAAAGCACTATATACTGTGTATAGCCCTGGTGCTACTTTCAGAGACAAACAACCATCCTTTCTTATTCTGTGTGACTTGTGTTCTTACTCTTCAGCTTTGGGATACAACATGATGGGACCGGCAATGACTGTGAGCCAATTGGGAAAAGACCTTTCATCATGTCCCCACAGCTACTGTACGATACCAGCCCTCTAACCTGGTCCCGCTGCAGCAGGGAATATATCACCCGCTTTCTTGAGTAAGTGTCTCTTGCTTCGGGTTTTACATCATGTTGGGAATTGGTTAAGGATCCTCTCACTGTTTTGTTGTCTTGGAAATTAGAAATTTCAGAAATTTTCTTGATTATTTTCTACACAGTCCTAAGATAACTTGAAGCTGTGTCTCCATGACCTCATACAACATTATGCGCTCATCCATCACTCATGGGGCAGGGAACTATAGAGGCAACAGTGAGAAATTATCTCTTAGGCCCTCGTAATGTCCTTTTGGGATCTGCTCACTCTAGGACAGCCGCAGCTCAGATCACCAATCTGTAATAACTTGGCTGATCCCCGTTCAGGGGGTACTAGAGGATTAGATAATTCAGTTGCTAAATTACAATTATTGGCCTCCTTGTTTGTGGAACCATTTCAGGTTCCTGTTCCTGATCTCTTGCTGGAGGCTGTATGGGCATTGGCAGAGATTAGACTCAGTTGTGAGGCCGATCAATGTTGGATAGCCTGCTAATTTTCCCAATCTAACCTTCTACACAAGGAATGGCTCCCGTGATTGGCGATATCAGTGACCTCAGTGAAGGTGAGATGAAAATTGGACACTTTTGATATGACCAGAATGAAAGGTTTACCTCGGTTTATCTTTTAAGTTATTAGTGAAGTGTCTCCCATTCCTTTTCTATTGTTTTACCTATTCTTAAATGGGAGGTAGGCTTTATTGACCAGGTCAGCAGTGTGACCCATCCCGAATTGCCTTTGAACTGTATGGCTTGTCAGACCACTTCAGAAGGCAGTTTGGAGTCAGCAACTCCAGATCAGGTCAGGAAGTCAGACTTCCAGCTCTAAAGGACGTGGTAATCCAATCAGTTTCTCCATCAATTGTTGATACTTTCAAAGTGACCAATAAGAGTCATTTCCAATTCCAGACTTATTGTTTGGATTTAAATCCCACCAGCCGAGTGGATCCCAAGGGATTTGAGCCTGGCTCCTCGGAGCCATACCCTGGCCATTGGGATTACTCGTCCTGTGATATTTCCATGGTATCACTGTTTGGTGACAGCTCATTGACACGTGCTTTTTTGTCTGATTGCGGTTTGCAGCCGTGGATGGGGTCTGTGCCTGGATGACGTGCCGAGTAAGGAAGTGATTGATTTGCCCTCAGTAGCACCAGGAGTTTTGTATGATGTCAATCACCAGTGCAGGATGCAGTATGGAGCCCGATCAGTCTTCTGCGACAACATGGACGTACGATAGACCTTGTACTTTCACAAATCACAATCTAAACTTGTCTCTGGATATAAGTGGTTGGTCACAGTTGAAGAGGCACCAAGCTCTGTGTGTCTCTGAACCCCACAGAACATAAAGAAAAGATTTACCGTGACACAGCTTTCTCCTACTCCGATTTCGTATGCTTACATAGTTCCACTTTCTGGCCAATGAAGTACTTTTGATGTGAAGTGACTGTTGTAATGTAGGAAAGGACTTCTGTTTTTTTATAATGTTAATTGAGGGATGGATATTGGCCAGGAGATGCTCAGGGAGATTCTCCCTGCTCTTTGTGATTGGGCCTTGGCATCTTTTACATCTGTTTGAGGGGACACGTAGGGCCTATGGTCTCATCTGACCTACAGTGCCTCTGACAGTGCAGCACTCCCTTAATGCTGCATCACAGCTTCAATTTGCCACCCTCCTCTGATTGGTGCCATTTCAAGAACTCAAATCCAGTCCAAAGATTCTGGTATTTTGATGTTGGGGTAGCGGGGAGGGTGTGTGGTACGGGTGGATGTGCGCACGAGTCTCACTCTCTGTCAGCACTGCCGTACTGTCTGAGCACCTAAGTAAGCATCTGTCTGAACCCTCCTACAATGAATTGTGAGTTGCTGCTTTCAGCCTAACCATTCCCATCTATCTCTGACAGAGTGTCTGCAATACACTGTGGTGTACCGTGGGAAACACGTGTCACTCCAAGCTGGATGCCGCTGTAGATGGTACAAAATGCGGAGAGAACAAGGTAATGTTTGCCATTAAATCACCGTGAAATTTCTCATTGGTTCACACCATTCACTTTAACAGAGAGGATGGGAGATTAATGAGCTGCTATCTGCCTGCGCTTAACGTTACTCTCAAGATGTTTGACCAGAAGTGGCACACAGTGGGAACACATTTTGCCCTGTCTGTCTATTTCCATGCAGAATTAGTGAGGGAAGGTTAAGATCATAACAATGTAATTAATAAGAGCAAGGGTAGGTCATTCAACCCCTCAAACCTGCTCCAGCACTCCATAAGCTTATGGTCACTTGTCCTAATGTTATCCTCCAATCCCTGGAGGAATGCCTGCGACCCAGTGAAACTAAGGAACAGGGGATGGATCTATTAATTGAAATTGGGCTTGAATTGGTCATATAACGATTGGAAGCTAGTAATCAGTGAGTGAGAGTTTTATCGAGAATGGTTCACTGCAATAAAGTTCTTGCATAAATGTGGGGGCTTGAATTCTGTTTAAAGACTGTTAACATTTGGAGTATATCACTAGTATCTCCTTAATATGTCTTGGCATCACACTCAGTTTGATAATGCTCTTGTAAAGTACCTTAGGTTTCTTTGGTTGAATAAAGGTGCTATATAATGCAACTTGTTGTTGCATCTGAATTGGGAGTCTGTCATGCCAGCAATGAAAACGACAAAACATTTCTTGTTCTATCAATTCTATAATCGCTGGATAGGAAATGTATGAATGACTGTAACTTTCATCATTGCCCTGCAGTGGTGCTTCGATGGAGATTGCATACCCACAGACCAGCGCCCTGACAGTACCAATGGAAACTGGGGAGCATGGGGTTCGTGGTCTTCCTGTAGTCGCACGTGCAGTGCAGGAATACAAAGCGCAGAGAGACACTGCAACAATCCAACGTAAGCTATTTCAATTTCTCCTGGACATCTGGGCTGGCTGCCATTAGCTCATACGGATTAGTTAATGGAGTTCCAGACTGTGATCCAATATTGTGTTCAGTTCGCAGTCAATGGCATAAGAAAGGAGCCTGATGTGGATTGTTCCCTAAACAGCAGAGGGCTGAGATGTGAGACAAAATTGGAGGGAAGCTCAGACTTTTCAAACTCAAAAAGAGACAACTGAGTTAGAAAATGCAAAGGAATGATGAATATGGAATATTGCTTCAGTAACAAGAATAGGACTAGGGCACAAATACAACATAACGTAAAGGCTAATGTCACATAGTATTTTACACAAAGAATAATCAGCATTTGAGTTGAGTTCAACTCTGGAATCATTTCAGGATTAATTAGATACTTTAGTAAAAGCATTGTATGTTCTATTCAGAGCCTGAAGAGACATGCAACACTCAGCGTATCTTTATGAATGTGAAGGTGTGCGTTGTCTCTCCTGGCTGTGGCTCAGTCAGAAGTGCACTTGTTTTTTCAGATAAAATGTTATGGAGGAGGTGATTAAACTTTAGGGCACACTGGTGCCTCAGTGCACAATTTTATGGCTTTACTGGAAGATGTTTATCTTTTAACCAGCATAAATAAAATGAGATTAAATGGTCATTATTACACTGATATTTGTGGGAGCTTGCTGTGTTCAAATGGGCTGTCGGTCTATGTTTCCTGCATTGGAAATTTGCAGTGTGCAAACTGCAGTAACTGCACTTCAAAAGAATTCATTGTTTATGAAGTCTTTTGGGATCTGCTTAGGATGTGAAAGGTGAAATAGGAATGAAGGTTTTCTTCTCTTTTACTGTTTCTCAGTTTGGTTTTCAATGGTATTCGGGTCAGCTGTGCAGGTTTCAGGTAAATGGCACAAAACACAGAAGTGAAATGAGATTTTTTACACAGTGAGCTGTTGGAACGCACTGTAAGAGTGGATGTGATTCAATGGTAACTTTCAAAAGAAAACCGGATAAATGCTTGAAGTGCAAACAATTGGATTACAGTGGAGGAAAGATCAGGGGAATGGGGCTAATTGGAAAACTCTTATCAAAGAGCTGTCATAGACACAATGGGCTGAATGGCCTCTTGTTTCTGTAGGAGTTTGCAATTCAATGAAAACTGCTTCTTCTATTTGCATTTCTTCAGTGTTTTTGTTTAGACTGAGTGACTGAGCCTTCGGTTAAATGGGCTGTGGGATTACGATTGGCTGTTTTTCTTATCTGAACGTTATGAAATGACTGATCTAAACATCACTCTTGTCCAACCATAACACTTCATGGGTAATTACTTTTGCATTTAACAGAACTCAACAGTGCTGTTGTCTCATCAACTAAGAATCATTAGATCTTGGTGGTCCCCTTCATTTCTTCTGCTCAAAAAAATCTAAGCAGTTTACTCACTTATCAGTTTATTTGACCTTATGGTTTCATTTATAATCCTTGACAGAGTCTCGTGTAGCAAAGTCAGCAGCTGTGTTTTTGTACTATGGCAACTGCAGTTGCCGTTGACACTGGTCTGGTTTCTAACGTAATGGAAGGAAACCAAATATGTGTTTTTTTTCCCCAGTCAAGGTGATTTAAGTAAACGACCATAAACAAAATCTAGGCAGATGGTGCTGGAGGATGCATTGCGAGGCTGTAATATTGACAAGCGCCTTGACTGTGCTGTTTAACAGTCACTACTATGGAACGAGGCACAGCAATACGGACAAATTATTTGATTGTCTTCACCTAATATTCTTTACATTTGCTGTTTTGATTATTCAGTAAGAACATTTCTGAGCTGCTTTGGAGCTTGTAGATTCCAACAAGGACCTTCAATGACACTTGCACCGTCATTCCATGTAATGATAATTTCTCTGACACATCTCCATTCTTAAAGTGAAATGGAACGGTGGTACTCAGTATCATTGTTTTGATTAAGATGCCATCTCAAACTAGCAAAGTTTTGTTGCTCTTTTCCATTCCCTCACAATCCCTTTATTAGGCTGCATATTGAATCCATTCCCAGTTCACCTGTTAACTTTGCCAGTTTAATGCATTAAATATTGGCACTTGGCTTGATGTGTCTTGTGTACGATCATATAGATGCATTGCTCGTAACCCATTATAACTCTCAGAACATTGAATACAAAAACATTTCCCTCAGAAACATCTTGATTTAACAATGAATTACCTTCAAAGATTAATACCTGTTCTTGAATGGGAACAGTAATGACTAATTCATCTGTTGTTACTGCCTTTGGTTGAAGGAGGAATCATGCCAGTGTGTTGGGCAGTCTTGGCTTTTCCTCAAAAGTGTTACAAAGTCCTTGACGTCTCTTGGGATCACAGAGATAGGCAGATAATCCTCAGTTTAATGTCTCATCCAATGACTGACTCCTCTGATACTGCAGCATTGCCGGGGAATCCAGTTCTGGCGTGAATCCCCACCATGCTTTGCTGAGAGTGTTGCTGATTGGGTCAGGCAGATGGATACATAAGAGTTAAAGACATCTGTTCTAGGCATCAAAAGTAAAGTGGTAAAATTAAGCACAGATGTAAAAGATTTGGGTGGCCAGTACTGTGTACTGGAAGACAAGATGATACAACATGATATAATCCTGCAGAAAAACAACATTATTTATGTTTCTTGGAAGTGCACAGAGCAAGGTCTGTTAAACTGCCTAAAGGTAACAGTTATATTAGTAGAGAGTGTAGTTGAACCTCTGTCTCAGCCACTCGCCTATTTAAGTACAAATCCTTTCAAAGTCCCAATAATAGTAGATTTGACTCCATCAAGCTCTAAGCTATAGACCTGCCAACCCAAAACGTACTTCCAGTATAGTTCAGTACACTGAATGAGTTCAGCATGGAGCAAGCAGACATTTACTACATGTCCTCTGGGTTAAGAGATAGAGAGGAAAAAAAATAGATACAAAAGAAAAGATTTTTTAAAATCTCACAATACAATTTAAAACCTGAAAGAATGAGACTCCGCATTTAAAGCCATTCACTTTGTGGACATGATCAATGATTGCTTAACATGGAAACCCAGTAAAACTATGAAACTCACATGGACGTTAAGTGAAAGAGGTCATTTTTGTAAAGTGAGTGACGGAGCAGCACAAATTTGGAGAAAAGATTTACAAGAATATTGCTGGGGTTGGAGGGTTTAAGCTTTAGGGAGAGGCTGAATAGGCTGGGGCCATTTTCCTCAGACTGTGGGAGGCTGAGGGGTGATCTTATAGAAGTTTATAAAATCATGAGGGGCATGGATAGGGTGAATAGTCAAGGTCTTTTCCCCAGGGTAGGGGAGTCCAAAACTAAGGGGCAACTTTTTCATGCAGAGGGTGGTGCGTGTATGGAATGAGCTGCCAGAGGAAGTGTTGGAGGCTGGTACAATTACAACATGTAAAAGGCATCTGGATGGGTACATGAATAGGAAGGGTTTAGAGGGATATGGGCAAAATCTTAGCAAATGGAACTAGATTAACATAGACTATCTGGTTGGCATGGACGAGTTGGAGCGAAAGGTCTGTTTCTGTGCTGTACAGGCAAGTGGGGAATATTCCATCACATTCCTGACTTGTACCTTCTTGATGATGAGACACTTTGAGGAGTCAGGAGGTGAGTTATTTGTGGCAAGGTTCATAGCCTCTGACCTCTTCTTAGAATTATAGAATCCCTACAGTGTGTAAGCAGACCATTCAGCCCATTGAGTCCACACCAACCCTCCAAACAGCACCCACCCTTAATTTCCAATGGCTAATTTACTAGGACTGCATATCCCTGAACACTACAGGCAATTTAGCATAGCCAATTCACCCTAACCTGTACATCTTTGGACTGTGGGAGGAAACTGGAGCACCCAGAGGAAACCCACGCAGACACGGGGAGAATGTGCAAACTCCACGCAGACAGTCACCCGAGGGTGGAATCAAAGCCGAGTCCCTGGTGCTGTGAGGCTTGTGGCCATGGTGTTTATATGATTAGTCCATTTCAGTTTCTGGTCAATGATAACCCCCAGGATGTTGACTGAAGGAGATTCAAGATGTAATGCCATTGAATGTCAAGGGGTGATATTTACATTCCCCCTCCCCCCACTGTCATCCAGCCCAGTTAACAAGGAAGAGCATGTGTGAGCAAATCACTGACGGAAGTGCAAAACGATTAATTTTTCTCGACTGACAATAATGTATTAATTGTTGTAGTTCTGCAGATTCCTATACCACCTACACTAAGCGGTTGTAACAGTGTCAGGTTCACTGGGACAACATGATGGCACAAGATTCCTGAACAATACATTTACTTTAGGTAATTAGTCACAACAGGAACATTCCGTTTGCCTCTTAAGAAACTGAATTCTTTTTGCTATCTGTGTATTAAAAATATTCATCTACCATCATCCATCTACCATGAGCTCAGATGCTGTAGTGAGGCACGCCTAATGATACAGGCTATTTGCAATGTGATCTGCTTATTTTGTAACACAAATGTTGAGAAAAAAGTTATTTGAAAACCTTATCATTGTCCTTGTAAAAGCATTGATATTTTTAACAGAAGAGACCCAATAAACTTCAAAGCGAGGAGAAGCTAACAATTTCAGTGCAGGCTTAGCCAGATTGGTGCTAGGAGAATGTTTCCCCTGCTTGGAGAATCCAGAGCACAGGGTCATTTAGGGCCAAGAGGAAGATACATTTCCTTCACTCTGAGGGCTGAGAGTCTGGAATTCTCCACCTCAGAGAGCTGTGGATGAGTATAAGAAATAGGTCCATGGACCCATAGTAACTGAGGGAATTAAGGAAAGTGAGGTAGTCAAAGTAAACAGTCAGCCATGATCTCACTGAATGGTTGAACAGGTTCAAAAGGCTCAAAATGGTCATATTCAATCCTGATGTGGAGGTGCCAGTGTTGGACTGCAGTGGACACCAGGATATAGTCCAACAGATTCGGTTAAAATCATAAGCTTAAGGAGCGCTGCCCCTTTGGCAGGTGAAGTGGAGGGAAGCACACAGGACCAGAACTTATAGGCGGAGAGATAATGGCAAGATAATTCCAGGTAATTAAGAATATCAACAGGTAAGTAAAAATAGTGTGAGTATAACAGGCTGAAAAACAGTTCTCTGCAGGTAATCAACAGTGTCAACAGATTAATACAAACGACGTGGGTAAAATGTCAACAGCTGAATGACAGGTGAAGGGATGACTTATGAACCAGTTAATTAAGGCAGAGAGATTATTACAAATAATCAAAATTAAGATAGTGCTTGAGACAAAACAAATGGCTGGAGTAACATGAGTAGGTATCAGAATTGCATGACGAGGGCCCAACCAAAATTATAAATAATCGAAAATGGTACAAACCAATTTAAGTAATTACTTGTGATTATCTCTCTACCTCCGAAAGTTTGTCATTTTAGATGAATCTGTTGGACTATAACCTGGTGTCTGACTATGTTCAATCCTGACTTATTTTGTTTTTATGTTCTCCATGTGAAAGGTTTGGTATATTTTGGGTGGTAGGCAGACCAATGTTGTATTCTGTAAAACAGAAAGGTTTTTTTTCTAGTATGAAGTGATAAAGCAGAAATCTAGCGTAACATGAGATCCGGTGCTCAGCAACCAAAACGTTAAGCTTTCACTGATGGGAGTGTTCTGTTTTTTCTGCTCCATGTTCCAGTGCTGAGCTGACGCCAGGTCAGCTGATAAATTCAGATAAACAACTTCATTTTGTGATAGGGAGAGTTTAACAGGATGTTGCCTCTGATTTCCACTTGGAAGTGTTATTGTATGGTTTTAATAAATTAACCAGGGTCTTCCATGACATGTGACACTATATCTTCTCTGAATCAAAGGAGGAGTTTAACCATCTGAACGACACATCGACAGTAACAGCAAATTTTCTGAATTCAAAAGAAAACATTCCCATTCAAAGGCTCAGTAATAGGCCACTAGCCTTCAGTATTACTGAAAAAAAGACACATTTTGTCAAAGCTTTTTATCTTGCACTCATCAGGACATTTCACAAAAATACAAATTCAAGGCAAAAACCAACATTTTGTCTGATTGACAAGTGAACCCTGATTAGATGTAGCAATTTTATGGTGTTTATCATTAACAGGATGCTGCCTTCAAACCCATCACAGTAGTAGGTGTATAAGTCATAGAATCCCTACAGTGCAGAAACAGGCCCTTTGGCCCAACAAGTCCACACCGAACCTCAGAACATCCCACCCAGATCCATCCCCCTATAACCCACCTAATCCACACCTCCCTGAACACTACAGGCAATTTAGCATGGCCAATCCACCTAATCTGCACATTTTCAGACTGTGGGAGGAAACCAGAGGAAACCCACGCAGACACAGGGAGAATGTGCAAACTCCACACAGACAGTCACCTGAGGCTGGAATCGAACCCAGGTCCCTGGTGCTGTGAGGCAGCAGTGCTAACCACTGTGCCATCATGCCACCCACTTGTGAACCCCCTGTCCTGGGGCACGGGTACTCACCATGGCCATAGTGCGAAGTTGGCTGTCCCCCTGAATCAGTGTTAGGCTGAAGCCAGCATAAAGATCCACCGAAAGCAGGGCCATACAGCCAACACGTTGTCTACCGTTGACTCCCGATCCAACAACGCTCTCCTCAACTCGAATGACTCCCAGAATCTACACTTGATCTGAGCCAACAGGCCGAGAAGAGATTGAAGTCCCAAAGACTGGCAGATCATATCAAATAGCAAGGTACTGATCGTACCCAACCAGTCTGTGGAAGCAAAACGTGTGATACAGTGTACAACATTCAATGTGCTTCTGCAATTGGACAACAATTGCTGGACAATCCTGAATGTGTGATGAATTGCATTGACAAGCAATTTACGGTTTGTCAGTTGAGCTCACAAAGTGCTGCTGCACTTTAGTGTCCTGGAATCTGAATATATTAATACACAGGGCTCTGTCCTTTTCAGACAGATAGAACAAGAACACACACTATGCTTGTCTCAACTTAACAACACAACTGACAACCATTCGCTGGTTTAATTTTCAGGGCAATGCTCTGGCCAATCAGAGTTGACCTGACTGCAAACCTTAAACAAAAGTCTGGCTGCCAATCAGCATTAACGGGTGCGATCACCATGGCAACATCTCTACCAGAGTCCACTTACTTGAAAATGCAAGAAAGGGGGAGTTGCCCCAGTGCCCCCACCGTGCCTCCTACCCCCTTCAATGTCCTGGATCAACATCATTAAAACAAATTATTTAGTCATTGTCACCATTGCTGTTTGTGGGAGCTTGCTGTGCAAAAATGTCTATTATGTTTCTTTATAATGACAGGGACAGCACTTTAAAAGTACTCCATTCCTTCTAAAGCACTTTAGAGTATCCTGAAGTGATGAAGGCACTACATAAATGTAAGAGCTTTCTTCCTTTAAAACTCTGAGTGGTAATAGATGCAGCAGTAACATGATTGGAGATTCCCTGTAAGTGCGAGCATTACGACGAGTTGTTTATTGCATGTTGTGTATGTGCGGAGTTAAATATTCTAGTCACAGTAAATATTATCCCAGGAGCAGTAAATGGCTTTGGCCTTCATCAGCTCATTGTCCTCCAGTGGCTCCACGCCAGTCATATGTTTTTAAATCCCTTCTGGTGTGTGCAAGTCTTTTTCTACAAACCTTTCAGATCTTTGCACTCCTCCAATTTTGACCTCTTGCTCACTCTAGATTTCCATCCTGGGGAGCCATGCTCTCATCTGCCTGGGTCTTATGTTCTGGAATTCCTTCCATAAACCTCTCTCTCTCTTACTTTGAAATGCTTACGAAAACTTCCTTCTTTGGTCCAGCTTGTGGTCACATCTCCTAATATTCCCTTATGTTGCTCAGTGTCAAATTTTGATTGATAACACTTCTGCAAAATGCCTAGGAAAGTTTTACTACATTAAAGATGCCACATAAATGCAATTTGTTGGTACGAGTGAAAAATAAGGAAAGAAGGACATAAAGCAGGAACAAAAGCCTTGGTTTATTTTGAAGTCTTTCTTGTTCCAGGTCTCAGCGAATCCAGCTGAGGCAGGCTGTTGAATTAAATCCTGCAATGACAGATGATGAAATATGAATTCGATAAAAGTCTGGAATTAAAAAGCTAGCGTAATGTAATCACAGTCAATTATCAGAAAAATCCAACTGGCCAGCAGGTTAATGTACTGCGTGGACGATTCTTACATTGCAGGAAGGTTGTGGCTCAGGTACTCCATTGGCACTGGCACCGCTGTTTCTCCTATTTTTAATTAACCTGTTTGGACAGGTTGTGACAGACCTCGAGCACAAGTGGGACTGGAACCCAGGCCCCCATCAGTAGATCCTTTGGTGTGCCAGTCTAGATCTCATCTTGGCAATGAACCACATGGATTGTTCAGTGGTGTGTTTCACTTTGCAGGCCCAAGTACGGAGGCTCATACTGTCTAGGAGAGAGGAAGAGATTCAGGGTCTGCAACATCAAAGCTTGTACCTCAGACCTGCCAACTTTTCGTCAGATACAATGCAGCCAGTTTGATACATTGCCTTACAAAGGGAAACTGCATAAGTGGATCCCTGTGCTCAGCCAAAGTAAGTCTATTGTTTTATTGGTTTTAAGTTGCATTTCTTTCTCAGCTGTCTATCGGATTGCTAATTGATTCTAATTGATTCTAACAAAGGTCTGGCACAGGCATGATGGGTCAAATGGCCTCTTTCTGTGCAGCTTAAGCCTCAAAATGTTTATGTCTCCCTTATGCCATGTTTGAAACCCCCTACGAAGGAAGATATGAAATTATTGATTCTTGTGCTTTTTTTTTGAGATGCTTAATTATTTATTGAAACGATTATTTTCAAAATTCAAACCTCAGTCTATTGTTTTATTTTAGAAAAGTGGTCTGGTTGTAAACCAGACACAGATAAACTGCTGTGTGCAAGTGAAGTCTGGATTCATAATGATATAATCACATAGTATTGGCAGTAGAGGCCATTCAGCCCAATTGATCTGTGCAAGCTCTCCATGAGCCTTCTCCTACCCTCCTTCACGTGTTCCACGAATGCATCCTTGATTCCTCTCCATCATATTTATCTAGCCTTCCCTTAAACATGTCTGCTGTTTTTTTTTTAGCCTGTCTATGTTGTAATCAGGGGCAGGGGTAGGCAGGAAAGTGCATTTGAAGCCATGATTAGATCAACCATTGGTGGAGGGGTCAAATGGCCTACTGCTGCTCTTCATTTCTATATTCACGTGTAGTCTGTGGTTTATTCAGAATCAAGGAGGTTTGCTCTGAATACTGACTGGATTTATCCATGATTACACTCATTAATTCTACTTATATTCCAGCCAACAAATGGAAATATTTTCTCTTTGTAGCCAAGTTTTACAGGTAGCCATGATGTGGAGGTGCTGGTGTTGGACTGGGGTGGGCAAAGTCCGAAGTCACAAAACACCAGGTTACATTCCAACAGGTTTATTTGAAGTCACTTCGCCTGACAAAGGAGCTGCACTCAGAGAGCTTATGATTTTCTTTTATTCATTCATGGGATGAGGGTGTCGCTGGCCAGGCAGCATTTATTGCCCATCCCTAATTGCCCAGAGACCAGTTAAGAGTCAACCACATTGCTGTGGTTAAGGCCAGGCCAGGTAAGGATGGCAGTTTCCTTCCCTAAAGGGCATTGGTGAGCCAGATGGGTTTCTCCAACTATCGACAATAGAGTCACAGTCATCGTTAGATTCCTAATTCCAGATATTTTATTGAATTCAAATTCCACCATCTGCCATGGTGGGATTCAAACCCAGGTCCCCAGAACATTATCTGGGCCTCTGGATTAACAGTCCAGTGATAATACCACTAGGCCATTGCCTCCCCTTCAAATAAACCTGTTAGACTATAACCTGGGGTCATGTAACTTTGGACTTTGAATTTTACAGAACCCCCACAGGTGGCTCAGCCTTTAGGTAGCAGTAATGTTCTCCTCAACCTCTTCAACCCCCACAAACCTCCCCCCAGCTCCATAAACATACCCTGCACCCACAGCCCCAACTTCCAAATCCCCAGATCCCACATACCACCTCCCCACCCAGCTCCAATAACCTCACTGCACCTCAATTTCCTCAAAAATCCCCACCCCTCTTCTCCCAACCCCAAACCCTGAGACACCTATTGTACCACATCCAACACAATTCAACACAGCTTGGGAGATATGTTAGTGATCTGAATTAATGGTCTTTTAGAGGCCTGTACATAAAACATAGCCTGATGATTTTACACCAGGGGCTGCTGCTCAGTGAAGTGGACTGGGTGTTCTTTCCCAGACACCCTCCTCCCAATTTCAACTTCCTCACGACCATCCTCCATGCTGTCTGCCAGGTCCAATCAGATCCAAACCTGTCAGTGAGACAGGGACCAAGAACCTTTCTTTGTGGATCAAGTTTATTAACTACTCAGTCTCACAGCTCCTTCCACACACCAATTCCACATGTTCCCTCTTCACACGTACCCAGTCACTGACCCCTAAGAGATCTGGCTTTACCCAGTTGCTCCTCCTCTTGGGGTTCTGATTGGCCAGCAGCTCCATGAGGTGGGCTATCCTATTGGAGGCTAACAGAAGCCCCACCTATCACTAATTAAAGGTCATTCCCCAAAAAATGTTAAAGCGGACTGAACAGAGTGCTGTCTTGTGGCATGATGGTAGTGTCCCTACCCTTCAACTAGGAGCCCCGGTTCAAGTACCACCTGCTTAAAAAAAAGCAGACTGTGCTGGCAACACAGAGGCTGCTAAATTTTACACAATGGCTTGAAGTGAGGATAAGCTCAGCAAATAATCCAGTCCCTCAAACTTCTAAAGACCTCTATTTGGTCTTTCTTTGGTCTACATTTTTTTCTCTTTACCTTTTTAACACGTTCTGCGGTGTCCCTTAATACATTAAACAAGGCAGGAACGAGCACTGCATACAATACTACACCTGTCGTCTAATTGAGGTTTTGTACAAATTTGACCAAACGTTAGTTTCAGAATTTGGTCCTTGAGGCTCCTGTCTGTCTGGATCTCTGTCTCTCTCACTCTGTCTGTCTCTCTGTCTGGTCCAGAGCCAAACTCGCTGTGGTTTGGTGACACAACCAAACTACAGTTTGCGAATGAAATCCGAGTTAACACTGGGAATTTATCTTCGGTGAATTTGTGTAATCTTACCCATGGTATGTCTTGCCCTCAGTTAATCCCTGTGAGCTACACTGTCGTCCCATAGATGGTTACTTTTCAGAGAAAATGTTGGATGCTGTGATTGACGGGACACCTTGTTTCGAGGGAAACACCAGCAGGGATATGTGCATCAATGGAATCTGTAAGGTACAGAGTGGTTTGGTTGAGGGACAGGGGGGATGGTGGGTGGGGAGGGGGTGGGGGGAGGGGGATGGTGGGTGGGGAGGGGGTGGTTCCATGTGCACTCTGGTGTGAAACAATGTGTTTACTTTCCTAATGAATGCAAACCCCTGGAGCTAAGTGTCGTCTCCACATTTGCTGAGTTTCAGGGGATTATTCCTGCCCTCAGCCTGTAGAGGGGTAATGTGTAGTGTTGTCTGCATGCTTCCTCAGGGGAATGCATAAGGAGCTTGTACTGAGGCCACAGGGCTGGCAGTGGGCTGTGCAGGGTCCCTGGCTTGTCCTGAACCTGATCTCTCTCACTGTGGGAGCTCATGGGCTGCTATTTGGCAGGTGGGATTTGTCATAAGGAGCATGTGCTCCTGTGTCTCCCAAACCCTTGCTCTGAAGAATTTCTCCTTATGGATCATGCTCAGGAAGGTTGCTCCCTATGCGGTGTCGGAATGGGTAGTCGGCACGACAACGGATTATGGAAGGAGCAAGTGAGATGTAGCACAAATGGTTTCAGACACAAACGTTATTCCTTGGAGACAAAGCAGAATTAACGTTTCAGGTTCCATGACTTTAGAACAGAGTTTTGAAGAAGGGTCTCCACAGATGCTGCCAGACCTGCTGAGTTTTTCCAGTAATTTCTGTTTTTGTTTCTGGTTTCTATTATCCGCAGTTCTTGATTTTATTTTTACATTATTTCTCCTTGATGGCAGCGCAAGATGGGTGCAATGGCCTGGAAATCTGGGCCAGGCGTTAACTGGACTTGGGGGGGGCTACATTTTGCAGCTGAGTGATGATCATTATCACTGTGGCTAAACAGTTCAGGATCCTGCCACAGCATTTTCTGGAGTGCTTTTCAAATTGAGCATCAGCCAGATCTATTAGTGAATAAAGGTTGAGCTAAGATAAAATTCCCAGGGCCTCTGCACTCCAGAGGTTACAAGATCCTTTGAGTTTTAGAAATATGCAGACAAGATAACAGCAACAAACCTGTGAGAACAAGCTCCTGTTAGAAATTTGTTTAAGGCTGAAGGTTGTGCCCATTGTCCAGTTACTTCGTTGACACTAGCCAGTCAGATATTTATGGGTCAGATGCATAATCCCGAAAAGGCAGAAATAGCTCTACTCCCTACAATCTCCAGCCAGCCAGTGAGAGAACTCTTTCATGCTGGTCTTGCTGCACATTAAGTGATACTTTGTAATAATTTCAGGAGAGGTTTACAAAGTGGATCATATCAATAGAACAAGGGAAATCAAAACAGAGCATGAATGGATGAACTGAAGTGGAAAGCTTGTTATAACAATCTGTTCAGTCAGACAGATTACCGTATCCTCAGTTTGTGGTAACACAATACCCAGCATATTTACTCTGTAATCGTCTTCAGTGCCTACTTGAAAATGCTTTGCCATTCATTATTGTGGAGGTTAAAAAGACTGATCATATTTTTTTGTGAATTATCTGCTTTTGCACTTTTCACTGACTTTGATTATTTGTTCAATGTCTGACCCGTTTAAATGGAATCAAAAAATCTGCACCATTTTACTTTATAATAGGCGAGGAATGACAAAGCTGATTTTAACAAATGATGGATATGTATATGAGGATTGAATTTGACCCCTAACTTGAACAGTAATCTGCTGTATCTCTTCAAACCATTATTTAGGGAAAGTTAGCATAAAATAAAGATAAAATAATCTGTTTCCCATGCCATGTATTTGTGCATGTTTTTGCCATATTAAAGCTCCTTGGTACTCAGCACACATACGTGTTGTCCCAGGAGTTATTCCATGCTGTATGTGTTTTAGGGATAAGTTATAACAGTCACTGATCTGGAACCTAAAATTTCCAAGTAACGAACAGCTGGCCTCTAAATGACCTTCACAGTTAACAGGCACTCTGTAACTAACTGCACTTATTAACTTAAACCACTTTGCCATGGGAGTATTTGAACAATCACCTTAAATAGACTGGTCAGATGAGAAGCAAGGTGGATTAACCATATCGAAGCCCCCAGTTCAACTTAGAAATGTGTAATGGCTTTCCTGCTCGGAGTGCCAGTCCTGGATATAGTGCGTGTTGGTCACACTCTGGGGCAGAGGCTAATAGAAGGAATAGAGGTCTTCACCAACAGCTGGAAAGCTAATGGGATCCTCTTGTCACCTCCTTTTGGGAAGACCTTGCTGGTATTAGTAGATATTAGTGGAAAGCTCACTCCCTCAGAGGTGCTGGTCATTCAGGAGGTGGGAGCTATCCATAGCTTCCCTTCCAATGCGGAGTCCTTCAGTCAGGCACTGAGACTTGATCAGAGCAGGGAAGGGAAGGAGAGACTCACCCAGTGTCCTCCAAGTTTGATTGAAGAGGCATTAGATTCCATCCTCGATGACACACTTTGTTCCAGATCCAAAATAATAATGAATAAGGTCACGCTCACCATTTATCTGGGGTTTTGTCATTTACAAATAGTTACATTCATACATATGAATCAGAAGTAGTCCACTCAGCCCCTCGAGCCTGCTCTGTGACTCAGTAAGATCATGGCAGATCCAATGACTCCTATTTCCTTCCCCTGCACCAACTTAAATTGGTGTAAATAGTTGATCCTCACAGTTTTGACATTAGCTAATGTTGTGAGAGATCTCGGTGAGGTGAGCTGCTCTCCATGAGACATAATGGCCCATGAACAGTGTATGAGTGGCTCCGCTGGTGGTGTTTGTCTTTGCCAGTAGATTTATGGGTTGAATAGATGATCCTTACAGTGCAGGAGGATTTTGGCTCAGGTACTCTGTTGGAACTGGCACACTTGCTTTTGACTATTTTTAACCAACTGGCTTCTACATGTTATGGCATACTCCCAGCGCAGTTGGGACTTGAACCCAGACCTCACAGCCCAGAGGTATGGACACTGCCATTGCACCACAGGAGCCCACCTGATGTAGATGTCAGCTGGAGCAACTTTGCGATATTGTGAATTAAATAAAGTGTGTTTAACCAGGTGGGTAAAAGATGCCCTTTGACCCCATTGTTTTCTCACCTGAGTCATTATCATGCCACCAGGATGAAGGAGGTAGAACTTTTAATGCTTTTTCAATTTATTCTTACGTGGGATATAGATATTGTTGGAGTGGGGATGTTGGGATGGGAGATGCGCACACCCACTGTACTGTTAGTGGAAAAAAAACAACTGGATATGGAATATTTAGTCGTGGGAGCTCAGTGAGTCAATCAGTTGATTGTATCTCTTCAGAATTTCATCAAAAAAATTATGTTTGGTTGCTGAAAAGTTTGGATTTTTATAGGGGAGCAAAAAGGGGTTGGCTAGTTAGGACAGAGTTGTGGAGGAATTTCTTCTCTGAAGGTAGTGAATCTGTGGAATTCTTTACTGCAGAGGGCTGTCAAGGCTGGGTCATTAAGTATATTCAAGGCTGAAGCAGAGGGATTTTTAATTAGTAATGGAATCAAGGATTATGGCAAAAAGGCAGGGAACTGGGGTTCAGGATTATCAGATAAGCCATGATCTCATTGAATGGCAGAGCAGACTCGATGGACTGAATGGCCTACTTCTGCTCCTACATCTTAGAGTCTTATGCTCTTTAAGAACTTAAAGTATCTAATAGTATGACTGATCAGAACAGTGAACCCCATATCCGAAATTTATGTGCAGAATTGTTTTAAATTGAAAAATAAATAAAATTTAAATAATTCAATGTAATGATAAGATCCAGTAATGTTTGTTATATTTTAGATCCAAATTAATTTGATTTAATCAAAACAGAAAGAGCAAAGAGATGAGTTGTCTTTAATGAGAAACTTGCCAATATAAACTTTATCCCGGGACAGTTGCTGATTCAGACTTCCTGTTTCAGAATGTAGGTTGCGATTATGAAATCGATTCCAATGCGTTGGAAGATCGTTGTGGAGTCTGTCATGGAAATGGATCTACCTGTGAGACAGTAAAGAAGACATTCGATAAAACAGAAGGACTGGGTAAGACAATTTTGTGCTTTGACAAACATTGACTTATAGATACATTGACTTGTGTGATTCCCCTCGTTAAATATCCCAACTCTAATCAAATCAAATTTGACATTGATCCTCATAAGGAGATGCTGGAAATGGTGATCCAATGCCTGAGCAGAGAGGTGGGTTTAACAAGTGTCTTGAAGGAAGACAGAGAAGTAGAGAGGTGTAACATAGGAACATAGAAAGCAGGAAATTAGAGATGACTTTCTGGAGCTTATGGCCCAGGCAGCTGAAAGCACACGCCATCAATCATGGGGTGATTGAAGGAAATGATTGAGTCTCAGAAGCTAGAACTGGTGCAGTGTTGGTGTCTTGTCAGTCTGTAGGAGCTGGAGGAGGTTACTGAATTGGCAGGGGTGAGGACATAGAGGAATTTGAACACATAGGTGATAATTCTTAAAGTGAGGCATTCAGGGACAGGGAGTCAGTGTAAGGAGTGAGCACAGTGGGCAGTTGGGGGAATGGGATGGTTAGGAGATGGTTAGCAGAGTTTTTATTTCCCTAAACTACGTGATAATCCATTCTCAATTTTGTGATAAACCTCAATGAGATCCATTCATCTATATAAAAGTACACAGCCGTCAACCTTCTCAGGTTCATGTTTCAATGTCCTCCCATTGGAACTAGCTGATTACAACCTTAAAGGAACAGCTAAGCTAATTACATCTGTGATTGACAACGAAACTCTGAAGCATACGCTAATCATCAGATTACTAGAACATTAGCAGCTCTCCAGGGGGTGAGAGTTTGATGTGGATAATATCAGTACATAACTTGGCTGGTATTCCCTGCAATGTAGGTTTAAAGAGCAATTTGTAATTCAATGTGATTCCAATTTTAATTAGTGAGCGAAAAGGTCTGAAGTCTCTCATAATCTGATTGATGAGGGTAGTGTAGAATGTGTACAATGGAAAAATTACAAGTTAAATGAATTTAATGTCAGTCATACAATCTAGTATGTGTTGTTATATGGAGAGAGTAAAAACTGCAGATGCTGGAGGCAGAGTCAATACAGTGTGAAGCTGGAGGAATACAGCAAGTCAGGCGGCATCAGAGGAACAGGAAAGTCGACATTAAGAGTTTACAGCCTTCATCAGGACTGGGGAGGGGGAAAGGAATGGGAAGAGTGGGGGATAAGTGGGAGAGAAGATGGACAAGTTGTGTCAGGTCAAGGGGGTGGGGATGAGAGGGTGGGCTGGTCATGGGATGAGGCCTAGTTTCAAAATCTCTCCACCCCCAGCCTCATCCCTTCCAACTGACCAATGTCCATAACCCCCTACCCACATTCACCTATCACCACCCCACCTGCCTTCACCCAACTCCAACCCCCCATTTATTTGGAGCCTCCTTCCCCTTCCCCAGACCTGATGAAGCGTCCTGACCCGAAACATCAACTTTCCTGTTCCTCTGATGCAGCCTGACCTGCTGTGTTCCTGCAGCTTCGCATTCTTTTGACTCTTTTGACAATTGTTATACAATTGAAATAACGTATACAATGGAGCAGAATAAGCCCATCTTAGATCATTATCTGGTTATGGCAGTAAAGACCAGCACCTCCAAGGAAGGGAATATTATTTCCAGTTAACCTTTTGGAAATGTGTCGCCAACAGTAAAACAGGACAGAGCAAATTTGCAGCTCAATTTACATTTTATCTAATATTCTTCTCAATTGATCTGCATTCTTTGCCAAGACCAATTCCATCTCCATTAATATTTTGATTCAAATGTGAAGACCAACTGCGGGCTATAGTATCAGAGGGAATTATGTAAAGGAATCATTTCTGGTAGAGGTCCGTGTATATTTGGTCTGTGTGACTTACAAAGACAGTGACGTTTCCACAATTGTGATATTTTAGGAATGAACTTTTTTTAATTCACTCATGGAATGTGGTTGTCCCTGACTGACCAGTATTTCTTGCCCATCCCTAGCTGCCCTTGAGAAGATGGTGGTGAGCTGCCTTTTTGAACTGCTGAAGTCCACATGCTGTAGGATGACCCACAATGCCCTTAGGGAGGGAATTCCAGGATTTTGACCCAGTGACAGTGAAGGAACAGTGATATATGTCCAAGTCAGGATAGTGAATGGCTTGGAGGGGAACTTGCAGGGGGTGATGTTCCCATGTATCTGCTGCCCTTATCCTTCTGGATGGAAGCGGCCGTGGGTCTGGAAGGTGCTGTCTGAGGATATTCGGTGAAATTCTGCAGTGCATCTTGTAAATGTTACACACTACTGCTACTGAGCATGTCAGTGGGGGAGAAGGGATGCATGTTAGAAACAATCGTCAAGTCTCTAATCCATGTAAAATCTGGTGAAGCACATTGTAATAAAGTGGAATGTTCACATTCGTCAAGGGACAGGGTGACACATGCCACAGTGAACTATTTGAATGAAAATTGTCTCGGCTAGAAGTAAAGGAGATGGATAAAGAATCAAAGAGAGAGGAAAACGGAATAACAATTTGGCATAAAGTAATACTGGCAGCTTATTCGCAATTGTCTGCCTTGTGCTCTCACTCAAGTCCCACTTCATCTTCATTGTTTCACGTTGAATATGTTCTGAACAATATGGAAGAAGCATCAGAGTCATTTAGGACTGTCTGAAGCTAATTCCATTATAGAGAGCCCAGCTAAACTCACCCATTGTTGTACCATCATGCTGCTGTGTAGTTTAGTCATGGCTCACCTTAACACTGGTTGGTTTGTCTCTTTATGCATCAATTTGTGCAAGATGCGTCTTCACAAATCCATTCCACATTGTCAGAGCTACACTCTCACATACAGCATGATGATGATGCAAAGTTAAACTCTCTCTATTCAGTCCTATTAGCTGTCTCTCGATTCTAACCTCAGAAAAGCATAAACCAGTGTTAGAGTCTGGATATTTGCACAATGTAGTCATTTAAAAGGTTAAGATTACTACTTAGTTCTATTTGTGAGTACCAAGTTAAACGCAAACAAATTGATCACGTGTTTCTCAGTCAAAATTGTAAAAGAAAAAACTTCTTCTGAAATTGAAGTTGCATCTCCAAAGTTTCAGTTGCTACCTCTGTTTTAGTTTGCTGTAAATTGCATCATAGATTTGTCTGCTTTCAGAAGATTTGAAAGGTTTGCTCATAATTAAGTTGATTCTGATTGAAAGTATTAATTTCCCATTCAGCTGAGCAGACATGAGGTAATTATGTTTGCATATTTCAGGCTCTTGTCTGAACAATTTTCACAGGAACACAATTGAATTGGTACCAGAGAGGTGATATTTAAATTAAGTTTGGCTACTCACAACAAGAAGAAAATCTTCTTTTAACAAGCAAGTAGGATGTGCATTTCTAAATGTAGCCCAATATTTGCTGGTCTGCTTTGAACCCAGTAGTTGATTTCCCTGAAACTATCAGTGTCAAGCCCAGACTAATCTATATGTCAGGGTCCCACATGAAATGAATTTGACTGATTCTACATCAGTCAGCTATAAACAGAAGAGGATTTATTTTGGACTGGATGTAGTTCCAGCTTTTCTTCAATATCAATCAGGCTCTTCAAACATTAAGAGCAACCATTTGTAAATTAATTAAATATTTTGAATATGCCCTGGTGCATATTCTTTAATATTACATATTTTTATAATAATCTTAAATTAACACATTCTTAAAATATTGCTTCCAGCCTCACACATGCAGTGGAAGTTGGACATTCTCATATTGTTCACTCCTACATTTGATATTTAGATTGATTGAATATCTCATATCCTAATTCTCCTCACAGTTTATTACTTTTGTGTTGCCACTACCATATTGAGCTAAAAGCTAAATGTCATTATCAACAGAAAGTGGTAAGAACCTATACATTACTACTGACTCAGTTTATAATTTTAGATGGAAATTAAAGAGAGGTGGTTAAAATTAAATGGTACAATTTTAAAGTGGTGTGTGTCAAAGAAATCTGAGCACCCACTTTACACAAAACTTTAACAGTAGCTGGACAATTGGAGAAAGATTTTGTTTGGTGGGATTGAGTTGGTAAATTGTTTTAATTGTTGGTTTTCCATCAAACGGTCTCAGTTAATCTTCCTCTGGTGTACCTCAACTCCCTGGTGGAGCTGTCTTCCTATTTCAGAACTAGTACGTATGTTCCATGTGGCCACAATATGTCCTCAACTTTTAAATATTCTTCAAAAGAACACAAACATTTTAAACTCCATGAGCAGATGTAAGCTACATTCCAAAGAAACCCAAACAATGAAAATTAAGTACTTTGATTTTAAATAATAATTTTGGGGATAAATTAAGTCAATATGTTTAACAGCAGAGTAACAACACAGAAAGAGGCCATTTGTTCTGCTGTGTCCTCCTAGCTCTTTGATAGATCTATCCAATTGGCCCTTTTCCATATCCTTTCCCCAAATCCCTGAAAATTTATGCTCCAAATATTTATCGAATTCCCTTTTGAAAGTTATCAATAAATGTGTTTCCACGACCTTTTCAGGCAATGCCTTCCAGATCATGACAATTAGTTTTTCAAATTCAATTCTTGTGATCTCCCCCCATTTCTTTTCCCAATTGCCTTATGTCTGTAACCTCTGTTTACTGATTTGCCTCTTCAGGAGTTTGCACTGTCTTATTCCACTCATTATGTAGGGTTCCAGTACTGGTTCAGGAGTTTATTGATTATGAATGCACTATCATTCATTACAAAAGCAGTGAGACCTACTATATAATCCTGAGGCATAGATTTGTACTTTCCTGTTGATTTTGTGGCTACCAATATAATATAATGTAATAAAACCTCTATACCTGCACACATTTTCTGTTAGTTTTGTTATATTTTTATAAATTCCCATATCCATTTTTATAAATGGAGACTGTTAACGTCTGTGTGTCCTACAGTAGCTACAGCTTTTGACCATTAGAGGCAGTATCATACCAACATTGGCAGGGGTGTGGACTGACAGCGTGACAAGTTTACATAAGCCATTCCATTGTAAGTATGGACACAGGAATTGACAATGGAAAAATAAAAACAAATTCAGAAAGTGTGGCTTTAAGATGAGTATTAAATTACATCTGTGCATTCTGGTGCAATCATGGCTCACCTGAAAGTTACACATGGCCTTGATTCCATATTTGTAACTGTGCAGAATGCCCACGAAATCCTGCATAATGTGAATAGGGCATGTCATTTCATGTAGCCAGTGACTTACCATGTTGTTATGTTCAGACCAAGTGTTTTCTCTGGGAAACCCTGTTGAATCCAGGGAACAGTTGAACATTATGCAATGCGTGAAGGAATATGCATTAGCTGAGGGATACCTTACCAATGACTCGCTCTGAATAAGATTTAAAATCCACGTAGGGTTTTTTGGAGACAAGATAACCCAGAGAGATTGGAAAAGGCAAAATCTTTAACGTCAACAACAACTCGCACTGCTATAACATCCTCAATGTAGTAAAACAATCCAAGGTGCATCTCAGCAGTGATTATCAGACTGAAATTGACATCCAGCCTAAGAAGAAAACATTTCACTGGGTAACCCAGACGGTGGTAGAGGTTCTGGAACTCGCCATGAAAGGGTAGTCATGGCAGAAACCCTCAACTCATTTAAAAGGTTGTTGAAGTCCCAAAACCTCCGGTGGTACAGACCAAATGCTGGAAAATGAGATTAGGCTGCATGGCCCATCTATATTAAGTTGTGTCGCAGGTAGACAGGGTGGTTAAGAAGGTGGTTTAGCATGCATGCCTTCATGCTCAGACCATTGAATATAGGAGTTGGGATGTCATGTTGAGGTTGTTAGTGAGACCATTTTTGGAGTACTGTGTACAGTTCTGTTCACCCTGCCATAGGAAGGATATTATTAAGTTGCTCCCAGGATGAGGCATTCCACTCCCGTACATCTCAGTTGTCCTCGTTTTTCAAGGATCGTAACTTCCCTTCCTCGGTGGTCGAGAACGCCCTCAACCGTGTCTCCCACATCTCCCGCACCTCATCCCTCACACCCCGTCCACGCAATAAAAACCAAAAAAGAATCCCCCTCGTCCTCACGTACCACCCCACCAACCTCCGGATCCAACGCATCATCCTCCGACACTTCCGCCATCTGCAATCCGACCCCACCACCAAAGACATCTTTCCCTCCCCACCCTTATCTGCTTTCCGGAGGGACAACTCTCTCCGTGACTCCCTTGTCCGCTCCACA